AAACCAAACAAACTAGAAAGAGAAAGCAAAGAAGAAACAAGATCGTTAACTACAATTTGAAGGGAAAAGGAAGCTATGAAAAAGGAGAAGAGATCAAGAAAAAAAAGAAAGACGGAGCTAAGAGCGAGAACATTATTAAATTTCTATTCTGGGTCATATAGGACAGAAAAGTGTACACATCTTCTTTTGGGTTAGTGTGGTTTAAAAAAAATGAAAAACGATTTGCAGCAAGCATGTACTGACTTCTACTACAAAATATTATTTTTTATTTTAAAATAATAATTATTTTTTTTAATTTTTTAAATTTAAAATTTAAAAATAATAATTATATTTATTTATAATATTTTTAAAACAATTAAAAATAATTTTTTTGTAGTTAGATAATTAATTAAAGTAAATAAATAAAATTATGTAGTTAAAATTAAAAAAATATTTATTTACTTTAAAGTAAAAAAATAATAATTAATTAAAAATAAATTTAAAATTAAAAAATTAAAATTTATTTTAAAACAAAAAATAAATATTATATTAAATTAAGAGAGGTGCAGAATGTCTGGGGGACTCCCATCTATCCCATGAACAGCGTTTATAATTTTCAAAACTCAAAAAAAATTATTTATAATTATAATATAATATTAAATAAATATATATAATAAAATAACTAATTTTATACTCACGAATTATATTCCAAGCTTACAATTCCGTTGCATTATAACTAAATTTTTTGCATACAATAATGAAGATCTTACACATGTAAAAACATTATTTTTTAAAAAAATTTTAATTAAAAGTATCAAATTTTTATTAAACTCATCAAGATTATCATATTTAAAAATTTTTAAATAAAATATTATTTCTTTAATTTTATTATTTAAAAATTAATTAGATATTAATGTTGATTTGCTAACTGGATTCCGTCTGTGAAACCCACTAAATTTCTGATGTGTAAAAAAATTGGCGAGTGGTTGCTCTGGCTTCGAGCTGATCTGGACAACAAGCATATGCCAACACTGAAAGGAGTGGTGTCCGCACCCAACCCGTGTCGGAGGATGCTTCCCTTCTATTTATTTTTACAAAAAAATATAAAATTAAAGAAAAATTATAAACATGGCAATGAATATATAGATTAGTTTAACACAATAAGATATATTATATGGATTTATTAAAACTAATTTATCATTTGAATTTATTATATAAAAATATTTTTAAATAAAAAATATATTTAATACAACATACTAAATTTTTAACAACTCTATTAATAAAAGTAAAAATTTTAAGAAGTCATCATGCCTCGTCTATATTTCAAAATTTTGATTTTTTTGTGTAAAGCATTTTGTTGTTTGTGAAAAACATTGTATATGTAGAGAGTTGAATGATTTACTTTGAAGATTATGAATCCTTTTTTTTTCTCTTTTGTTTAGGCTTTTCAAAATCTTTCTACGACAAAAAATACAAAATTATTTGAATATGATATTACATATTTACATACTTTTAAATATTATAATAATATCAATAAAAAAAAAACTCACATTTTTTTCATTGTCTTTTACACTTTAACCCAACACCAATCACACATGGCATATCCCCACAAACAATAATAAATAAAATTCCTACACGCACCTATAAATTACTAAATATAATAACTTTTAAAAAAATTATGCCTATCACTTTGAGATTTTTTGTTAATTTAAGAAAAAATATATTATAATACATAACCAAATATTATGAAAAGAGATAAAGATTTAATATGTGATTAACACATTATAAACTATAGATAAAAATTGTACCTTCATAATGGACAAAAACTCTTGTTAAAATTTGTGATTCAAGTTTATAATAGGATATAACAATAGATAGAAAATAAAAAGATCTTGAGATGGATTACAAGTATTAAGTATTTATTATATTTAAACTAATAATATTATTATTATTTATCAAAATTCCCAACACAGGTTTTGGTACCGACACCACGTATTTTGGTATCGATACCATTCATTAAGAATTCTACCGTGAATTTTTATTGTTCAAATCAACTCCAAGTCCAAGCAGCCACCTGTCAATCTTTCTACACATTAGCAATTTAGTAAGCCCGAGAGATGGAATCCGTTTGCCAAGTTAACATTTACGTTCAATTAATTATTAAATAGTAAAATTGAAAAAATAATATTTTTATTTAAAATTTTTTGATTAATTTAATAAAAAATAATACTTTTAATTAAAAAAAATTTTAAAAAGTAATGTCGTTGTATTTGTAAAATCTCAACAATAATGCCAAAAATTCTCGAAATGGTTGAAATAACCAAATGCCGCTGTTTACGTAGCGTCGGATCGAACACCGACCTTTGTAACTATAACGGAAGTGAGCGACAGCGACAGGCTTGCTTGCATCCTTCTCTCTCCTCCAAAAACCCTTACCTCACTCAAGAATTCAGCTTGACTTGATCTGCTGACTGCTGCAATGGACGGACACTCTTCTCACCGAACCGCTCCTGCAGCTCTCAAACTCCGTCGCCGTCGCACTCAGCCTCCGCCTCTGCCACCTCTTCTGTCCACAACCGCAAGCTGGCCGCAGCTGCATCTGAGGACCACGCGCTCCCTTCCTCCTTCCCTCCCTCATCCTTCTCGGCTGACACTCATGATGGTGCGCTGACATCAATCGACGACCTGGAGAGCATTTCCGCTCGCGGAGCTGATCCTGATTCGGATGCCGATGACTCAGAGGACGCCGTTGTAGAAGATGATGAGGATGAATTCGATCACGATAATGATTCCTCCATTAGAAACTTCACTGCTGCTCGTCTCGAGTCTGGCCCTGCTCGGAAGAACAAGATCAAGACTGAGAGCTCAAATGTTAAAATTGAGAATGCTGATGGCAGGAAGCATGGTGGAGGCCCCGGGTCAGTTTCAGTACTGACCACGGGTTCCGCAGCAGCAGCAGCAGCAGCAGCTAACTCAGTGTCCGGAATGGCTGTGAAGGAAGACTCAGTGAAGATATTTACCGAGAATATACAGACCAGTGAAGCTTATATTGCCAGAGAGGAGAGCTTGAGAAACGAGATTAATTCTCTTTATAAAACTGTGCTTGTGTGCCATCAAGTTAGTTTAGTTGTAATGAACCAGCATTATGCACTACATGGTGTCGTTCTCGAAGGCTTTACAATTTCTTCTGTAGTTTGAATAGATTTCTTGTGGCTGAATTGTGTTGTAATTGGCACCTTTGTTTTTTTTTTTTTGGTTTTCAGGAGAATGCGGGAACGCTCCTTTTTACATGCTATTCAAATAATGGTTTTGATGAGCATATGGTTTGGTATCTAATTCTCTTTACTTAAGCATTCATGCTACATCTACATTTTTTACTTAAAAGGAGTATCTCAAATGTTGATTATGCAAATTTTGCTGATGCAATTCATCAGCCATTGATATGCTATGTTTATTTATTTATTTTTTGCAGCCTTTTCTTTTCTTTGATATAACTAGTCAATGTAATGTATTATTTTACCGTCTATTTATGTCTTCTTTTTTTGTTTCTCAGTTTAATTGGATTGAAAAATATATTTTCAAGACAACTGCGCAACATGCATAAGGAGTATATTGTCCGCCTTGTGATGGACAGGTAGTGTAAGATGATATCTCTTTTAAGGTTAAATGTTCGCACATTTTTTATTTTAAAGTCCTTTGATCAAGATGAAAGGTTAAAACTTATTTGATTTCCTGCATGCACTGTAAATTTGACTGGCAGCTGGTAGTGACTTGTTTACATCCCAAAAGATCCATACATTACCGCCCTTTTCCACAATCAAATGGAGACACATTTATTTTACGAACATGCAGTTTTGCCCCTAAGGTGCATTTGACGCCTTTTTTAGGCAGTAACATGATCTACATTTTTATATCCATAAATAAAATATTTCTTTTGGGTTGGTCACTGTTATTTTGCAGCCTAGTTAGCTGCAGTAAATCACTCAATGACTTTAAGATTTATGCCAGTCAAGTGTTGTTATCTCCATTTTCCTTTTTCATTTTTATGCTGTGATTAATTTATCTCAGTCCCAATCAAACTTATAACAGGAAACCTCATGAGTTTATTTTTGGGTTCCCAGCATTTTAGTCATCTTAATAAATGGCTTCTAGGTTGATGTCCCCCCCACCCCCTTTTTCTTGTGTGAAATATGGGGTCTTATGCATGATTCTTGTATTTACAGGAACCATAAGTCTGTGATGGTTATCAGAAATGATCAGGTTGTTGGTAGCATAACATATCGCCCATATGTCAGGTGAGGTTGATTTCTTGTTCTTGTGCCCACTGTCATGGCAAAACAAATGAATTCTAATCTGGCAATAAAAAATCCCTTTTAGTGTACCACATTTCATGCACATGGACCTCTGCATTTACCCAGTCTCTAATTGTATTGCTTCTAGCTTGGACCTTTAACTATATGTTTAGCTTCCTTTCATTAAACTGTCTGAGCTTTCTATAAGAAGAGGAAATAAGCCATATTTAATGTTGCAAGCTAAACTTTAACATTCATAAGAGATTGACTAGTTCCTATCTTTAACTCATTCAGTTCAGGGCTAGGCCAGGAATTGAATTTCCTTAATATACTCTTCCTCTGATTTTATTCTGTCATGAATATAATATTTGAAATTTCGTATTGAATGAATCTCTATTTTCTGACTCTTCTTTCCCTCTGAAATCACAGTAAAAAATTTGGGGAAATAGCTTTCTGTGCAATCACAGCAGATGAACAAGTAAAAGGCTATGGCGCCAGACTAATGAATCACTTAAAGCAGCATGCACGTGATAACAATGGGCTAACACATTTTTTTGACATACGCTGATAATAATGCAGTTGGTTATTTTACCAAACAGGTCTAGTTATCTTTCTTTGGTTTGATTGCTGATTATCACATTATTGTATAGTCACTTAATAATATAGGATAAGCTGCTACTCACCAGTTTAGATTTTTTTCCTTTTTCTTTTTTTTTTTTTGTATATTTCATTTGAATTAGATATATGTGGTCTTACATGACCTTAAATTTATCTATTTGTAGGGTTTTACCAAAGAGATTCACTTGGAGAAGGAAAGATGGCATCAGTATGGTGAATGTAAAATGATTTTTCTTAAGAAAAATGAGTTATTTTAGTTTTTATGTGGAGTATCTGTCTCCTGTTCTGTCCTGGTGTGTTTACAGTTCACCTTAGTATCACTTTCTATGAGAGGAATACAACTCTCAAGAAAAGAAATTTAAATTTATTTTTTTTTCTGGATTTTATTGTTTGTTTATTCTATACGACTAAAAAGGTAACCTAGGATAATAAGAACCAGGCGGTTCTTTGTTGGATTTCTTAAAATGTCCTTTTTCCCTAAATGATCTAGTCAATGATGATAATCATTTCATTTTTCTTCCAGGTATATTAAAGACTATGATGGAGGAGTCTTCATGGATTGCAAAATAGATCCAAATCTTCCATATACTAATTTATCAAAAATGATTCGCTATCAGAGACAGGTATGATAGCTGCTTGGTCAATAATTTCACAATACCTCAAAAGAATCCTGCAAACTATTTTTCTATCACATTCATTACTTTTCTTTCTCTGGCTTATAGGCACTTGATGAAAAGATAAGAGAGCTTTCAAACTGTCAGATTGTGTACCCAGGGATTGATTTTCAGAAGGTAATGTGACTATTGAAATGTTTAGGTGTTGTATGTCTTGATAAAATTCAAATTGAACATTTATTCATAAATAATAGTTTGTGCTGAAAAATGAAATAATCTATTGTAACTATCACAACACACATGTAATATCAATAGTCTTGCATTATACATTTTACTGGAATCCCATCTTCTTTTCTTTTTCTTTTTTTTTTTTTGTTTTTTTGAAAGAGCTGGTTTGTTCTCTGGTTATTCTATGTTAAGAGAACATATGTGTGTATTTTTCCATTTAATATTCTATTTACTAACTTTTTTCATTTAAGGCATTTATTTCTCTTTTCTTTAACCGCATTTGTAGTTCAAATCAGATATTATCTAAACTCAATGTTGCAAAAGGTGGGACAATATGGCACCTAATCGCAAGGTGGCATCCCACTGCCTGACCTAGGCTGGGAGGCAGTGGGATTGGATGGTGCTGGGGTAAAACTGAACTATTTTTTTTTTCTTAGATCCACTAGGAAAATATGGCTCAATCTGAGAACCAATGCTGGAAAGTTCCTTAGATGTCTCAGAACCAAATTTGAACCAACAAAACTGATATCCCAGATTCATTGATCTGTTGAAGAAGAGGGCCATGGCAGGTGTCAGAAAAATGACGGCTCATGGACTTTCTTTGAAGTTTAGTCCTTAAGAGTTTGAAATTGTTATTTTTTTCCATTTTTTAGAAAATTGAAAAAAAGGGAAAGATGCCTAGGCCTGCGCTAAATAAGGAGAAATATGAAGTGCAGAAATCTCAATCATTGCGCTAAATAGTTCTCTTACTTTTTATAGATTGAAATTAGAGAATATTTCTTATGTAGCTCTTCTTTCCAAGATTTTTGAGGTTGGATTCCTTGTAAACAACTTATGAATCTATCTATCTGATTAATTATTCATTTTCTTCAGAAAGAAGCTGGTATTCCTAAAAGGATTATCAAAGTTGAGGATATCCCTGGTTTGAGTAAGTTCTTTCTCTTCCACTATTGTAGTGTTTAATTTGTATTCTAGCATCCGGTCATTCATTCTGGTAGTAATTGTTATCATTAGTGTGACAGTACTTGTTAGCTGCATAGTGCAGTTTAATCAGGTGGAATGATCTCACACTGGTAGCATAGTATACAGTTTTGCGCTAATGTGCTATGATGGTAACTAGCATTTCTTTCTGTGTAGTATTTAAAAATCAAACTCTTTGCATTTTTTGAGGTTAGGGGCAGTAGCATGTGTTTGCATGTGTTCTAAAGTTTGTCATCACTTATTTGAGATTAGTTGTTAACTTGGTGACAGTGGAGGCAGGATGGACTCCCGATCAATGGGGCCATTCACGATTCAGCAGAATTTTCAGTGCTTCTGCAGACAGTGCCTCAAATCAAAAACATTTGACTGCATTCATGCGCTTACTTCTGAAGGCAGGTTTCTGAACTTCTACTTTGATCCTGAACTGCATTACTGCAATTGATTTTAATCTAAGACTTTGTAACTCTGTCCAGTAGAGTTTTCTAACATTCTGATGGTTGGGTGAATTAATGCTATTTTTTAGTATCATTGATGGGGGGGGATCAAGAAAGAATCAGTTTTAGGATTATTAAACAATTTTATTAATAGTGTTGTTTAAGAGTCATTCTTGGAGTCTTTTTATCATTGATGAGTATTTTATTTCTTCTAAGTCTTAGTTGAATGAGGAATATATGGTTTCAAATTATTATAGTTCTAATTAGAATACAAATTCTGTTAGGAGTCCTAAGTAGTTTATAAATATGCATGTAGCTTCTTTCATTATTCAGTCAATTGAATATTTAGACATTTGCAGCAAGAGTTTTCTCTTGATATTGTGTGATGCAATCTTGGTTGCGTGATACAACTAACATTAGGTGTGATGCTTGAGGGTTCTTATCCTTTTTAAGTGTGATGCCTAAAGAAACCTAGGTGTGACTCCTAGGATTTTTCTTTCTTGTTATTTCTGTTTGTTTCCTTCTTTTCCATACCTTAAACAGCTACTTAAAGCCCATTTCACTGTTAACGTGCACTGTTCACAGCCTAAATTTACCCTAAACAGCCTTTAAATCCTCAAGCCCACCATACCCCCTAACCTGTCCTGTGTCTTATGGAAAATATGCCCAACTTTGGCTGCATAGTTTGACTTTAATCAACTAAATTCCATGATATCAAGGGTCAAAACACTTCAAGACATATTTTTAGAATAATGAGGCTCAAAGTATCATATGTAGTCTGATAATAAGATAACTACTTTAGTAGTGATGCTTTGGTACAAGCTAACTAATTTTTTGGGTGCCTTTCTTCTGATATCTTTAGGGACCTAATAGACCAAAGACTAAAATATGGGAAGCTGGTAGTCAAACAGTTTTATAATGGAACAATCCACGGTTGACAAATTGTTGGAGGTTTCTTAGTTTCTCAGAAATTACTCTATAGACATCCATGTGATTATATGATGCTCTGTTCTCTTCAATATTTCTGAGATTCTAAGTAAACTAATTCTGTTTAAGCAGTCCATGCATGATCATGTGGATGCTTGGCCTTTCAAGGAACCAGTTGATGCACGTGATGTCCCTGATTATTATGATATTATTAAAGATCCCATGGGTAAAATTTAGTTTATATTTTTATTTGTATAACCTATTAGTTCTTTTACAAAACATTTCAATTCAGGGTTTTCATCGTCTGTCTATCTGTAGTTCCTTAACAACTTTCAACAATGCAAAGCCTTGTAAATATTTATTGCTTTACCATACAGCCACCGTTTGCAATGCAGATCTAAAGACCATATCAAAAAGAGTTGAATCGGAGCAGTATTACGTAACACTTGATATGTTTATTGCTGATGTCAAGAGGATGTTTGCCAATGCGCGCATTTATAACTCTCCTGATACCATATATTATAAATGCGCTACCAGGCATGATAGTTCAATTGTCTATTTTCTGTATCTTTTGATTTCTTTTCCATCAAGATTCTGACTCACTAGATGTTAAATTGCAGGCTTGAAAGCCATTTCCAAAGCAAACTTCAAGCTGGTATCCAGTCTGGTACCAAACTTCAGTAGCGAGAAGATGAATTTTTATGCAGCATGTTTTGCTCGGGATATTCCCAGAGATACATCTTTTAAAAGTACCATTCTCCTCCTGTTCCCTTTATAGATTTTCTTGAATAAATGGTCAATGGAACATTCCTTCTATAGACAAATTGTTCATTTGCCATCTTGTTTTGGAAAATTTATTTCGCCAAGTTGTAGTTGATATGTTATTGGATCTGAAAATGGTGGTCACTTTGGTCTTTTTCTACGGTGTTTTATTAAAATGACTTAGCTTAGGAACGTTTTTGCTTTTAATATTTTAGAGGTATGATTGATTAATATTAATCTAGAAATAAATAAACATTAAAGCATTGTAACATTTCATTATCTCAATGATAAGTTGATAACTAGAACCCTAATAAGATAGACCGTTTAAGTTTCTTTGACCTTCCAAGTCAACCAACTACAAGAGTAGTGGACGCACTTAAACCTTAATTTGGCATATTTTGGTGAGCAATTGCATGGGATGGCCGAGGTTCCCAACCAGGCAAAGCCCCGCGTGGATTGATGTCATTGCTCCTCTGCTTTTGCATGCCATCAAGGCCCAACTGATCTTGCACATGCTCCAGTGTAGATGTCTGCTGCAGAGATGTAACAGTGGCATTCTTCGCTCCAAGAACAATTTGTGGATTTACAATAGTTGGAACCATGGAATTGCTTGGAAAACTGTCATTTAATGGTTGATGATGAAGTGTGGTAGCTATTGCCGGAACTGGTTGCTGGAAGAAGGGATTTGTGTTTGGCTGCATTGGTATTGTAGCTTCCAGTGGGCTGTTCATGAAAGGCATGCCAGGATTGGGTACATTTGATCTAGATAGAATATGGGGATTGATCCCTGTTACCTGCTTAACAGTTTCTTCAGCCAGTTTTACCTGAAATATTCAAATCATTTCGCAGGCTAAAAATTGAAATGAAGATTTCATCAATGAAATGGCAATAATAATTTCTAGAAAGAAGCAAAATGATCAAAGGTCATGCTACACTGTTAGGCACCTGCCTTGGCCCTAATACAGGTCTACACCTCCAATGCAATATGGTAGCAATTATCACAACTGATTATGTTTTATCCCGAAGCATGTCGAGCTTAATATAAATGCAAATCTAGTGTGTTGATATTGAACAAACCTTTTGTCCAATAACTATATTAAACTCCCCTTGATGAAGATAATACTTGCTAATGAATCATACACCGCATGTTTACAAATGTATAATTTCGAAAACTTAAAATGGCAATAGAATTACCATAGCTTTTCAGTATCCAGAATCAGCAAAACAACTGCACCAATTGAAAATGTGCAGCATGCAGTCATGAAGATGAAATTACCTATCAAGGCCACATATGACTTCTAAATAACAACATTTACATTTCATAAATTATTGATGCTTATGTGCACATTGCCTGTCTAAAGAAGGCCATAACTTTCCAAGGCGAAAAGGAAATGAGATAAGAAGGGAAGAAAGGCAAAAGTAAAACAAATTACCCATGACTTTCACAATTTTTTAGAAATTTAATCAACTCAAACTCCATGGTGTTGTTTATTAGGCTAGTGTTTAAATTTTAAGAAGACTTGTATATCAAACAACCACAAAATAAGAGGACTTTGAAATGAAAATGCAAGCGGTAATGTCTTACTCTTGCCCGTAGAGTCTCAATATCAGCCTTCAGAATTCTGTTGTCAACAGCAGATTCATCAAATTTCTGATTCAAGTCAGTGAGACGTTTTAGTAATGTGGAGCGTTCAACTCTTAATTGACCAACCTATATGAAACAACATGAAGGATTAAAAAGACAAGGACATGAAAACTGTGCTCAAGAGAATGAAGATAAAGCATGGGCAATACCTGTGCTTCAAGTTCACTCATTTGTGCTTGTTTTCTTCTTCTAGAGCGTCTAGCTGACTCTCGATTTGACCGCATCCTTATTGATGAGTTATTAATTAATAAAGGCTATTTTTTGGTAATATTTGAGGCCAACGCCAAAAATAAACTATACTACATCACAAATTTGTTGATTAAAAGATGAGATTACTGCCTTGTAGAGGATTTATTATGTTGCTAAAGAAAAATTCCCCTCCATTTTGTCAACATTTTCAGTTTTGAATTATCTCAACTGAAATCTCACCATTAAGAGTCCTCATAGTCAACATCTTGCTTTCCAAAGATTTTAGTTCCTTAAAATGTGTGTTTGCATTTCCAAGGCAAACGATATCATCTTTCGTCATTTATCATGTTGTGGTCCAAAGAAATAAAACTTTCATAGCATGTTTGGCCAACATACAACCAAAGCAATGATAAGGAATGGATATTTCAATTTAAAAGAAAGAATTCAAAAGGATTTTCAGAGCAAGTTATCAGCTTAAAATTTTTAGTTAAGATTAACTATAAGTACACATAGTTACAAACAAGAAAAATCACATTTATAAGAAATATATTTGATCATTATCAAAGAAACAATTTGATCCATTTAGCTGCCACATGCAATGAAAAGTTAGTAAATTAGAGAAAGAAGAATGAGAAAAAGACAACACACATCCATTTATTCAAAGAAAATAAAGAAGCATAAAGCTTTGCAGTAGTATCAAGAGACAATACTTACCTCCTTTCACGTTTTAAATTTGCTGGATCCATGTTCTCAGTCATTTCAGTGTCTCCATCAACGTCTTCATCATCTGAATCTTCTCTTGATGACCCACTTGTTGTTTGTCTCACTTGTACCCCTGATTTTCTCTGTGTAATTGTTGATGCTGAAATTCCAGATGCTGCAGCATCAGGCTCACCCTGTGCTTTTGGAAAACCTACAGTAGTTGAATGAATCAATGTGTTATTTGAATGTAAACTAGTTATAGATGGAGGATAAAATAAATTAAAGCATGAAAGACATCTCAAATTCTTTGTATGAGAAAATGGAATGCTAGATTATTTCAGAAAAATGAGAACCTAGAGATTAAAATCATCAAATAGAACTGTAAAACAATGTAAAATTGGATGCAAGATTATTTCAGTAAAAATTAAGAAAAAAATACAGGATGACGTCTTCCAACCGTCCACCAAGCACTGGCTTCAGGTAGCTAGTTAGAAAACACTATATAGATGTTTTCATATCAGCCATTCTGCCACTAATTTGGACAGAAGTTCACTGAATGTTATTCCAATAAATGGGCTGGAAGATAGAAACTACAACTAAATGAAAGTTTGGGGTTTTAAGCGTAACTCCCAGAGCATGTTTGGCTGATGGAATGGTTATTCCTTGGTCAAATCATAGTAACAAGGTATAAATTAGATAGAGAGCACAGCAAATTAAGAATGCCTATTTGCATCGGTTCTCTTTTAATGAGTTGAAAGGAGAAGCCATTCCTCATTTTCAGTGATCTCTATCTAATTTCCTTTATTTTTCTTGTTTGACTAAGGAATAGCCACTTCATCCAACCAAACATGCATGACATTTTGCTGCCTACAGTATCCTATAAGATTATATAAGAACCCTTGTCAAACCATTATTTGCCATTCATCTGCAACCCAGATCCCTCCCCAAAAAGACCACTGTGTTCACACTCTCACATACTACAAACAAACGGCAGGTTTATAGAACCAGGACAAAGAAAAGGGAATGAAGCACAACAAATGTTGATTTTGACTAGGGTGATCAACCCTTCATCAGCTCCTGGAATAAGAAGTCATCAGCATCAACTACAATAGGTCCTGTGCACACTTTGCATAACCTGAAACCACATTGTTACCTCTATGCACACCAGATTACCCAAAGTTAGTTGTTATTCATCACCTCCCTAAGGCCTGAGCATACTGAACTTGTAATAAGAAGGAAAAAAACCCTCATGAATGGTGAACATAATCTCCATTCTTTTTGCCAAGGTGAAGAGAAACCAGAGAAGGAGAAACATAATTAACGGAAGAATACCACCAACTATTTTAACTGTTAAGGCCATAAAAATTCTGCAATACCTCTTGCTATCTGATTTAATGGTCTACTGCTGATATAACTACGAAAAATCGTAAGAAATTTGAAAATTCAGAAATGTGCGAACTCTTACCTTGAGCTTGGGACGCCGATTGATGTGTTTGATTGTCAGTCTGAAGAGACGAATTTTCAAACTTCACACCTGACGCCTGCGTATCCATTACAAGTTAGACAAAATTTGTGTTATCTATATTTGCAGGCAACTGCGAAAGTTTAGATTGAGAACGATACACTAGAGAGAGCAACAGCAGCGCAGCCAGGATCGAGCTTGCTCTCGAGAATCCCACGCTGGTACTCATCCGAACCAATCGGGAACATCGCAGTCGGATGACTCGGATTGGACGGTGGAGTACGGTGCTGAACAACACTACGACACTGAAAATTAGGCTTTACGATCTCCACTATATCACTGTCACCGTCACCTTCTTCATCTTTAGAACCAGACGGCTGAGACACCACAGCGGAAGGCGGAGCAATCACATGCTGACCAGGACCGGACGCGGATTGTGAACTCACGGGAGAATATGTTTCCTGAAGAAACGTCGGCAGCGTCCAGTTCGACTGGCTTCGGTTCATTCCCGTGGCCGGCTCCGGCAGCGGCCATAAGTTATCGGGAAAATCGTCAACTGGGAACACAGTATTCATCGTTTTCAGTAAAAATCTCTTTTCCCTTTCTCTTCCCGAAGAAGAAACTGCATCATGCCACCCTCCTTTTTCTTGTTTACTGTTTTTTTCATTTTTTTGGGGACCACCGAAGAAAAGTAAGGGCAATTAAAGTACAATTTTTTTATGGAATTTTCTAACTTCTGATCGCGCTTGTTCAATTTTATTAAATATATTTTTAATTTTACCAAAAAAAAATATTTTTAATTAATTTTATATAAATTTTTATTTTAAATTTAATTAAAATAAAATATAAAATTAAAAAAATATATAATATTTGTACTCAAAACATATAAAATGATATAAATCTAATAGGTAAAATTAATTACAAATTTTATAATTAATAAAATTTAACATGTGTACTTACAACATACGAGAAACCATTTTTATATATTATATATTAATAGTGACATAAACCCCCAAAACACCCCTCAACTTAAAACATAAAAGTTTTGGTCCCTCCACCTAGAATTTCACTGAGGAATAACCCTTCCGTTAAAACACCGGTTAAATATAAAAAGGAATATTTGCAGCTGAGTCCTTAAAGTAAAAAACCCAAAATGACACCTTGGAATACAAATATTAATTGCTATCAGTTAGATCTTAAATATAAAGAAATTAAGCATAGCAGATAATAGTTCTAAGGATATTGAAAGAGTATTAAACTTTATTGTAGACTTATTATATCATGTATCTACAAAAGTAGAAAAAATAGAGAAATTATTAGAACATTTATTGAAATTGAGAGATTAGATTTAAATGAAGAAAGTAAGATATTATTAAAATCTTTAGAAGAAAATCTTAAAAATATGACGAAGAAAGAAGTTTAAGGAGATAAAAAAAAAAAAAGTGAGATGTGGATGTTTGACTAAGGAAAGTTTAAGTTAAACCCACATGAGCATCTAAAGCCAATAGGAGAAAGTATGACTAAGGAAGAAATCCTTGAGAATTGGGAAAAAGCAGAAAATGTTGAAGAAATGGCGTATTGGGAACATATATTGCAGGAATTAGAATTCCTTGTGGAAGACATAAAAATTACCAAAAAGGAAGAAGAAGACCCTTAGGGTAAAAAGGAAGAAAAATGGGAATTAAATGATGATGAAGTGATGAATTGGTTGCTGAAGCATATAAGGACTATTTAAAGAAAGAAAGAGAAAAGTATGGGAAAGTACCCCCACCTCTTAAGTTTATAGACGAAATATTAGTAGGAAATGTTCATAATTTTACCTTTATAAGAGAAGCAGAGCCTAGAAAGATGGAGGGAATAATAGGAGAAGGAAAGTATAAGAGTCCTGTTAAATATGAATTCCTACCAAAATTAGAAAGAAAAATGCAAGCGATTTCAACCACGAGTGTATACTTAGATATAGATTGTGCCATTGATCCAAAGAAAGAAATAAAAGATTGGGCACAAGCTAATGATCTAGTAGTCAAAGGAAATGTTGCTTGGGATTAGACATTTGCTGAAGGATATTTAAAAGCGACACTTAGAGGAAATGCTAAGAATTTCTAGAAAAGATATTAAGATGCACCAAATTTTGATGCTAGGACAAGAGATAAGCTAGAATTAACCTATTGGATGGCAAGAGAGTTAAAGAAAGAATTGTGTGGAGAATAAGATACTGAAGGATTATTTGAAAAAAGCATAAGAAAGAAATTAACAAAGCTAAGAAGATGTAAGATGGGTAGATTTGATGAATATTATTGTGAATTTCAGAAGTATTACTATAATTTAAAAAACTAAAAAACACCCTTCTAGGTAGATTAGTTCTTTCAAAAGTTACCAGACCTATGAAACAAATTAATAATGGAGAGATATGAAAAATATTTAAAAGAGGATGATGAGAGAATAGACACACTAGGGTTAAGAGCACAGTTTGTTAAAAAGGTACTTGGAGAATATTGCACAAACACCTTAACAACAAAAGGATTCTAAGAAGAGACTAGAGAATAGTATGGAAAGGAGTAGTTGCGGATATTTAGTAGAATGCTTGGACAGTATCCTTGTGGAGTTAAGAAGAAGAAAAAGAAAATTAAAAAATATTTTAAAAAATTGGATAAAATCTAAAAGAATAAAAATAAATTAAAAAGGGAAATTCTTCAAAAGGAAAAAAATATAAAAATTTTAAAAACTGTAAGAGGAATCTACAATGCCCATCGAAAAACCAAAGTCAAATGCCCATGTTGGAGATATAAGGAGAAAGGGCATATAGCACCTGATTGCCCAAAGAAGAATCCAAAAAAGAGTATAAAGACAATAAGAGCATTTAAAGAGTTGGATTTAAAAGTAGAAATAATATCTGGAAGCGAGTTAAGAAGTAAAATATCAGATAGTGAAAGTATTTATGAATGGGATGAATCTAGTAATGAGTCTGAAGATGAGTTTGAAGAGGAAGCCATAGAAATGACATAGAAGCATTAACATCAACAACCTCTATAAGAACGACCTCAGAAACTACCTCATTAAGAACCTTATATAAATCTCAAGAAAGCATAGAGATTGAAGAGGAATTTGATGGAGAAGCTATTGCATGGAAGTTATCTAAAAAAGACAAAAAAGGAGGTATACAAAGGAAGTAAATGGAGTCTCAACATAGAAAGTTTTGAGGGAGTAACAAAGGAAGAACAAATTGAGGAAGAAAGTATAATGATTCCATTACTAGATCCTAAAAGGACAAATAAGTATAGAAATAAGTACAACTTCGCCCATATAGGATTAATCCAAATTAGAGTTTGTCCTTTATTTAGAAGAGGAATTGATACACTAATATTAGCATGCATATTAGACTATAGACATCTAAACCTAAAAGATGCATTAATAGGAGGCATACATTCTAATCTATATAATGGACTTATCATGTTCGATGTTTATGCAGATTATCATGTGAGTTTAGGAGATAGAAATCTACATAAAAGTCTAACTATAAAAACCTAAACTAAAAATATTGATATGCTAAAAGGTTGCCATAACTTATCACTGAATGATAGAATAATGTATAGACTAGTTAATTCTACAAACCCAAGGTTTAGAAGAAGCTTACAAATGCCATTTTGTGGGAAAGTAAGACACTTCATGCATAAAGACTAATGCCTAAAACATTAGAATGGAGAGATCTTATTATTTAGCAAGTTTGATCGTAAGTCAAAATATTGGCAAATAAGGATGGCAGAAGAATCAATTCCTAATAGCCTTTAGTGCACCTTAAGGACATTATAAGTGGAGAGTAATGCCATTTGGGTTATGTAATGCCCCACAAATATTCTAAAGAAAGATGAACAATATTTTTAGAGAATTTAGAGATTTTTGTGTGGTTTACATAGATGATATATTAGTATTTAGTAAACACAAGAATGAACATAGCAGACATTTAATGATGGTAGTAGAAAAGCTCAAAGATCATGGAATAATTCTGCTAGAAAAGAATATGAGTTAGAAAAGTCCAAAATAGAGTTCTTAGGCTTAACTTTAGAACAAGGAAAAGTAGAGCTCCAGCCTCATATATTAGAATAAATTCACTAACTCCCCAATAGAATAGAAGATAAAAAGTAGTTACAAAGAATGCTAGGATGTCTAACTTACAAAGAAAAATATATAAAACATCTAGCAAACTTAAGGAGCTCATTACAAGAGAAATTGAAGAAAGATAGAGAATGGAAGTGGACTATTGACAATACAAACTTTATAAAAGAAACTAAAATCAAGATTAAAAACATGTCAAAATTAAAGATGCCTAATGAAAAGGATTACATGATACCAAAAATAGATACTTCAGATAACTTCTAGAGTGGAGTATTAAAAGCTAGAGAAAAGGAAACAAATAATGAAGAACTTTGTGCCTATGTGAGTGGAATCTTCAAACTAGCTGAGAAAAATTATCATAGCAATGAAAAAGAATTTCTAGTAGTCAAAAAAGGTATGAAGAAGTGTGAAATTTTCTTATCTCTAAAAGAATTTCTAGTGAGAATCGATAATAAGAACTTTGCATCTTTCATAAAAAAAATAACCTTGATAAGTGTATGCAGCAAAGAAGGCTATTGAGATGGAATTATGGTTTAAGCAATTTCGCTTTAATTTTGAATACATTAAAGGTGAGAAAAACTATTTTCCAAATGCATTAACTCGTGAAATGGCTTGTTCTCTATCGAAAGTCATGGAAACTTACAGTTCACCTAGTTCTAAAAAGGAACAAATTCATGAGCTAGGAGAAATGACTGAGGAATCTCTTCACCAGCAAGATAAATATCTAATATTTCCTTTGTCGCAGGGAATAGAGATGAGATCCCACAATATCATGACTACTCAAGTAAGAATGCTTATTAAGAGACTAGCAGAAGAGAAAAAAAGCCTCAAAGAAAATTTAGATAAAATGTTAAAAATATTAGATAATATTATCCTTATAGATTTGTAAAATTGTCAGGATGATATGATAATAAGAGAAATTAAAAGACTCTCTGTGAGTTTAGATTTCCTTACTAAACACATGGAAAAAAAAAACCTTCTATTAAAAAAATCTAGATATTATCTAGCTAGACTAATACCAAAAAAGGTATGGTTCACATATCAAAGAGAGGCAGTCTTAAAAAATATTGAAGAGTTTATGCCTCAAGACATTCAAGAAAAAATAACAAATATGCAACCAACTGCCATGAAAAATTGGTTTATAACTCATAGGTGCCTCTATAAGGGATCGATAAGTAATGTAGGTGTTACGCAAATTCAAGAAGGAAATCAAAATTGGTATTTGGTAACACCTACATGTTCATCGTATACAACAACATGGTTGTTCCAACAAGGTCTACTTAGAAAGATGATCTTCAACAACAAAGAGATTAAGTATTTGTTCATGTTCTTTCCATAAATAATCAAAGATTCAGTCAGATTGGAATTGGAATTTTGTCAACATATGAGACTTTGTCTTGAAATATACAGCACACCACCAGAATGGAGAGAAGGAATCACTTTCATACCTAGTTTTCATCTAGTCAAACTAAGAAGGAATTATGGATGGAATCTTCTAGCATGAAGAGAAGTAATGGCCTATGACCAAAATGAGAAAGAGTTTCTTACCAAAGCAAAGACCAAAGCATTAATAAAAATGGTTGCAATTTTTAAAGAAAGTGAATATTTAAGATGGAAAACATTTGTAGCTACTAAAAAATAATTTTCAGAAGAAAATGCAGAAGGAGTTCCCAAGGAATTGGTTAGCAACCCAGAGATTAAAAAATGATATTAACAACAAAACCCTTAAGATGACTGATCATTGTAGAAATCACATGCAAAGATATTTTGAGTTGGTAAAAGCTATAAACCAAGAGGTAAATGTGGAAGCAAAACTAGCCACAATATGTGATGAAGGAGAATCTTCAATAGCTAGGGAAGAGTCAACATCCAGAACCCTGGAAAAGTAAATGATAATAGAGCCCAATAATAAAGAAATATCTTAGAAGATGACAACTATGATGATAGCTCCTACTAGGACAATATGACAGATAAGGAGTGGTACAACTTTGAAAACATAATGGAAAATAAAAGCCACTCATCAGAAAAAGGATGACTATATAATTGTACTACCTTAAAAAAGGTTTGAAGTCCGAATTTGAAATCCAGATAATTGTACTAAGACCTTATCTCTTAGTAAACTATGTGTGAAATTTGAAGTTGAAATCTACCTATATTACATATAAAAAAGATATGGACTACATCTTGTAGAAGGAGGAGAATTTAAGTATTCTGCTTCTTGTGAAAGAAAAAAGACTCTTGAGATCCTTAGAATTTAAGTGTGAGGTGTGTAAAATATTAAGTGCATATTACCTACATTATCTATAATATAACTAAGTGTTTAGTTCTATAAATCCTTTACCAAAATCTTGCCAAGCTATTGTCTCCTGAAATCGTAAAAAATTATTCAACTCAAAACTTTGTGTAGAGATCTTGTTGAGCCACTTGTTGCCAAGTTGAAAGGCATGAGAAAGGCATGCTGGTGTTAGGCTCTTAAAGTGAGGCACAATAATTTGAGTTGGTAATCCTCAAAGAAGCAACAGACGAAGCAAAGTGAGCTTTAGTTTGGAGGTAAGAACTATCCAAAGAATTATTATATGTATAGTTAGAAGTATTGTTGTGTCTTGCTACTATCAATACCTTTCCTAGATTATATAGTAAGCAATGTAATCTAAATAGTGAAAATGAAGACCTAGAAAGTAATTTAATTGAACTAAAAGTAGAACTAGAAATATTAACTAAGGTATGAGTCTATGAATTGTACGTCACAAAAATTGGCAATTACAGTTTATGCTTTAGAATTAAGTAATAATAAAAAACTTAACGAAGAAATCACATCATTAAAAAGATTAAGATTTAAACATCAATAGAACGTTGATGAATGGATCAGTTGGGAAATACTGAGAACCTAGAAAAGATAATATTTGAATTAGAATTTATAAAAAAATTAATAAACTTATTAGAAGCAACCATCAAAGCTAACGAAACAAAAAGGACTATCAATGCATGTAGAAATTAATAGTAATGCAAGAGTTTGTCTTAAATTAGGTAAATGATATTAGATTCTATGATCACCAATGTGAATATTATAGGAATAAAATAATAAGAAATTTTGTAGAGATTAAGTGATATAGAAGATCTTGAAGAATATCATCTACCAAAACTTATTCAAAGATTGGAAAATTCTATAGCAAACTTAAAAACGGACTTAAAAAGATTAAAATACGCTAAACAAATATTATCTTTACTAGTTGCATAAAGTGTGCTAAAGTTGTGTAATAGTATTTGTGTGATAGGTAGAATTTAATAGTTGTGTAATAATTTAAGTTTATTTGTGTATTGGTGTGAAGTTTATTAGTGTATTTGTGTGATCTAATAATTTAAGTTTATTTTATTTGTGTATTGGTGTGAAGTTTATATGTATTTGTGTGATAAATAGAGTTTGGTATCAAAGCCTAGACATTTAAAAATTTTAGGGTTGAAGTGTAGTATTTAAGGAAGTTAAAGAACTCATTAAGAAAAACCCAAAAACAGTAAAGTAACAAGTTAATGGCTAAATAATGGTCAAAGTCTAAAAGCTGGTCAAAGGACTAAAACCCTTATAGTTAGAGTAAGTTAAAGGCTAAAATCCTTGACTTGCAACTTGGAGGGCTCAAAGTTTTAAGGATGTAAAGTTTAAGAGCTTTTAAAGGTATAAGCCTATTAATATCACATGTTTAATCATTTAAATAACATAAAATAATGACAAAAGTTGTTTCTAAATTATTTTTCCATTCAAACCGAACTCGTGACTTTTGTAAGTACTGTATAGGTGCTCCACCTATATTTTCGACTTCAGTTCACTTGTATTAGTATATCTCTATTACCCCTTCTTTAATTGCCTAATTTTCCTTCGTTCAAAAAAAACTAATTTTTTGATTCATCGAACGAGTCTACTCGTGTCGGCTTGTTATTGGATTAAGATGGTGTGGGGTCCACCTAGGCGAGGGCATTTTTGAAAACAAAAAGGTAAATTTACGGTGTCTTTCTCCTGTTCCCCACTGGTGTTGCGTCCCACATAACGGACTTCGCTGTGCATTAATAGACAGCTGGACTGCTTTAGGGTGTGTTTGGCTTTAGCCAAATTTTTATTTTTTTCTCCATCTCTCTCAACTTCGAGCAAAACCCAACCTTTGAGCTTGTTTGGTTATGTTTAGAAAGCCAATTTTATTAGAAAATTTTTTAATGAATAGGAAAATACTTTACAAAAATTAATAAATTTTATAATAAAGTTTTGTTATAATTTTATTAGATTATTAATATTTTTATTTAATAAAAAATTAATATAGAAAAAATTGATAAACTTAACCTCGTGGGCCATGTGGTTTAACCACTTTTATAAGGTTTATATTCCCTCTCAAAAGTAATGGTTCGAATCGACTCACGACTAAATATTTAAAAATATATATATATAGAAAAAATTGGTAACAAAATTGTTAATTGAATCATATATAGGGAAAGTAAGTGAAAACTTTTAGAATTGTATCAAAGAAAGTTAATGTTAAAAATTTTGTTTTTACATTTTTTATTGTAATATTAACGTATAAAAATATATAAATAA